GGTTTATTTGGTAGTCTGGTCCTAGCCTCGTCACTACTTCGCCGAGGTTAGGCTAGGCACTTACCAACACATGGGGTCGGTTGTGCTGATACTACACTCTGCACTCTTTTGTGCAGACCCCAGTGTTGTAGACTTCGGACCGCAGTGGGATTGCTGATTCTTGCTCATCAGGCGACCCGAGGCAGTCCTGCAGGCGTCCGCAGGCCTTGGCGTCTCCTTCTATCTAATATTCATGTTTCTTTCATACATTTCTAGAGACAGTGTTGTATTTGTTTCTTTCAGCCCCTTTATTTGTAGTATTCTTAGAACGTTTGTGAAACTGGGACACCAGTTCTGGGTAGTCGAGACTCAAACAATTGTATTGGAGTCATGTCCAGCTAGCTTATTATTTTTTTTCTTCCGCTTATGTTAAATTCCGCTATTTAAATGATATTACTTCGCAATTGTTAATGAATATAAGATGGGTAAAAGGGTAAGTTGTTCACATAATTGGCTTGTCTAGCTCACACTAGTAGGCGTCATCACGACTCACGAGGGTAGCAAATCCGGGTCGTGACACAATAGAAGGAAAGAAGGGGTTCGGCAGCGGATCCAAAATAGAAGGACCTCGAGTTCGAGTTTCAAACTTTGGGGGTTGAAATCATAGGTCTTAATGTACCCATGGTTATTAAGATCTCTTCCACGACCACCATTAGAATTTCGTCCATTATTGGAATGCCTACCACAACCTCGACCATTAGAATATGATGATTGTTGTTTCGCAATAAAGGTTGTTGTAGTAGAATCTAGGAAGGGAGGTGTAGTGCTGGCCAATTAGGACTCATGAAGAAAGAGAAGAGAGCAAGTTTCTATGGAAGTAGGGAGAGGAACACGAGTAGATGTGGAGGTACTTACAGACATGTAGTCACCAGGAAAGCTAGAGAGGATTTGAAGAACAAGGCCGGTTTCGGAGATTGGACTGCCAATAGAGGTAAGGGCATCCACTATGGACTTTCGACGATGAACATAACCATTGATGTAGAGCTCTCCCTTTTTGAGATTATGAAACTGAGCTTTCGTTAAAGAGTACGAGGGCTAACTTAATTGCAAAACAAACATTCAATTTGAAGCCCTACTTCACGAGATGTGAGAGTATGATTTGGCTTAATAATTCACTACTAGAAAGAAGGCCTTTCGCAACAACATTTTTTGCTTCCATATATTCAATGTTGTTGCCAAAAATATTATTGGCAACGACAAAGAAGTCGTTGCACTCCATTGCAGTAAACACCGATGTGAAAAGTATATGCAACAACAGAAAATGTTGTTGCCAAAAGGTAACTTAGCGCAACAATATATATCGTTGTCATAATTTAATTTTTGTTGGTAAAAGGTCAATGATGTCGTGGATTATTGTCACGACCCAAAAACTACTAGTTGTGATGGCACCTAACTCGACCAATAGGTAAGCCAACTGACAGTCAGTACAATCCAAATGAGATTTATATGAAAATAGTGAAGAATTATCTGAACATTTACATATTAACCCAAGGACTAGTAATACGAATCATGAGCTTCTAAGAATTTGAAATTTACGAAGCTGGTACAAATAAATACACGATCTGTTTGAAAGTTACATAAACAGATTAGCAAAATCTAAAGCTACCATGGACAAATGGCAACTATGTTCCAGAACGCACGAACATCTTCAGAGTTAGCTCCCGACATCACCAGCAGCTCCACTCAAAAATCTACACGCAAGGTGCAGAAGTGTAGTATGAGTACAACCGACCCCATGTACCCAATAAGTATCTTGTCTAACTTCGTCGAAGTAGTGACGAGGCTTTTTAGTTAAAAGATACTCACTGATAAAACCTGTACCGTAAACTAGCAATAGAACAATACTACGATATAACAGAAAAGAGCACATGAAACGAATATGCAAAGCAATAATTGAGTTCTAGAAGAGATCACAATTTATCATTTTCCAATATCTCGACCAATCTTTTCCTTAGAGCGAAAACAATTAAACCACGATAGTCACTCCTTAACTTTCATAGCGTGAGGAATGTACTCAGATATCAAGTCAATGGCACGGCAACACCCTTCGTGCATTTATCTCATCCTCACCAAGTATGCGTATAACAGTACCAACCGGATGGTAAAAATGCCGATAACAATAATGACAGAGTAGGAAATACGCAAGTAGCAATAATGAACGAGGATATACATATGGGAAAAAACAATATACTAGGTGGAAGGCATAGGAGTAATGACAGCAATTAGGAAAAAGGAATATAAACTTCAACTAACTAGCATGGTGGAAGGCCTAGATATAGATATAACAAATAAGAAGGGAACACATGATCTTTATAAGTTAATAAGTAGAGGCATGAATGACTAACATGGTAGAAGACTTGTACTAAAGTGCAACAAAATAGATACGACATGGATGTAATGATAACTACAGAAAAGGCATAGTGTTTGCAAGTTTAGCAAGCAAAAGGCATGACAACACAATAACAATTAAGATAGAGGACAAGGACAGGGCAGCAACGACAAGTCACATAAGAACCATAAGTACAACAGTAACAGCTCAATGTAATGGCATGAACGTATACACAAGGAAAATATATCACAATATAATGCATGTCCCTCGTCCTCGCCTGCACAGAAACACCCATCGTGCCATGAACTTATTATAATATAAAAGCATGATAATATAAATGAAATGGCATGGCATCACCCTTCGTGCTTTACACTCACATAACATGGCACGACATCACCCTTCGTGCTCTTACTCTCAAATGATATGGCATGGCATCACCCTTCGTGCCTTACACTCACATAGCTTGGCACGGCATCACTCTTCGTGCTTTACACTCTCATAACATGGCACGACATCACCCTTCGTGCTTTACACTCTCATAACATGGCACGGCATCACCCTTCGTGCTTTACACTCTTCCTTATCAAGTATATGTATATCAATGGCAAACAAGGTAGGAAGCATAAATAACATCAAGGAGAGTGTTTAAACGAATATTCCAAATGAATCCCAATCACAACTTTTCAAGCCAACAATAGTTCAATAAACCCCCAAGAACCTTATTATTCAAGTATTTCAACAAATCTGACGAATGATCTACAACACGAGTATAGAATCTAGTATCTCAAGAATATCGGCCGTAGCAATGTATTAATGATTAAGCATAGTCATGGCTGAATTAAACACATCAATGTTTTCTCAGAATTCCGTCAAATTTAATCAAGTTATAATAAACTAATTATTGGGTTCTAACATTTAATTCTATATTCTTAGAATCTATGAGTCAAGTAAGACATGAATCAAGAAGGTCACGTAATTCTACAAGGCACAGTTCGTTGCATAATCTACCCCCGAGCATGATTAACCCTGGCACATGCATTTATGCTCGTCACCTCATATATTTATCACCCCCTGCATGTAGCAAATATAATGTCAAATAGTAGGAAAAATTCCCTCAACAAAGTTAGGCAAGACACTTACCTCAATTCGGCTAACTCAATACTCAATTTAGCTTTTTCCTTACAAATTCACTTTCGCTCGGTTCAATTCAATGGTGGTATGAAAATCCCTTCACAAAATCACCTCCAATCGAATCTAGGGTTCAAAATATGAGAAAATGAAGCTAAGTCTCGGATTCTTAGCTATATGCAGGCTGCAGATATTGCATTTGCGACCAAAAGTTCGCAACTGCGGACAGTTTGCAATTGCAACCAGGGTTCGCAATTGCGACCAGATGTTCGGAAATGCAGAGTTCGCAATTGAAACAAGAAGTTCGCAATTGCGAAGTACCAGTACCAACAAACCCAAACTTCACCGAAATGATCCGAAACCACCTCCAAAACTCATCCGGAACCTCCCGGACACAAGCAATATATGCATTTCAATCATAAAACACGCTACGGATCTGCTCGCACCCTCAAAATATCGAAAAGAGGTCTTCTTGATCCGATATTGACCATGGTCAAACTCCAAATACTTAACTTAACTAGTCTCTCAACCAACGATCCAAAATACACCCGAGCCCCTCAGGAACCCATCAAATCATACTAACAAGTCCCAAAATATACCACGGACCTACTCGAGGCATCAAATCTCATATAGCGACATTGAAACAACGAATCGCGCCTCAAATCAAAATCGATGAACTTTGGACTTTAAACTTTCACAACTCGCGCCGAAACATATCAAATCAACCGGGGAATGAACTCAAATTTTGCATACAAGTCCCAAATGACATATCGAAGCTATTCCAATTCCCGGAACTATAATCCGAATCCGATATCCTCAAAGTCAACTTTCGGTCAAACTTATGAACTTTCCAAACCTTCAAATTTCCAACTTTTGCCAATTAGTGCCGAATCCTTCTAGAAATATCCAAATGCAAATCCAAGCATACACACGAGTCCAAAATAACCATCAGGGCCTAACGGAACCATCAAAACTCCAATCCGAGATCAAATAAAAAAAAGTCAAACTTGGTCAACTCTTCCAACTTAAAGCTTAAATCATGAAGTTCATTCTTCCAAATTAATTCCGAATAACTTGAAAATCAGAGCCGATAATTTACACAAGTCATAATACATCTTGCGGGGATACTCATGCCCTCAAACTACTGAGGAAAGTGCAAATGCTCTACATGACCAGTCGGATCATTACAATTATGAAGACATGTAGAAATAAAATTATTGTTGCGACAAAATTAGCTTTTTGCCAACAATATCAGTTGTTGCAAAAAAATTGGCGGTAAAGTTAATAATATGTCATCAAGACTTTTAGCAACAACTATTATTGTGGTGATAATACTTTTTTGCCAACAGATTCTCTAGTACTACTTTGGCAACAATTTATGTATTGTTACTAAATACACAATTCATATATTCTTTAAATTTTCACAAATACATGTAGAAATAATAAATTGTATTTTATATAGATATAAATAAAGCGTCCACACATAAAATTGATGCAGTGGATATACTAACTTTCAAAAACTAAATAGTCCTAAAAAGTATATTTTTACTTACAAAACGAACAAAAGCATCATATATCCAAGGTCCTTAAGTACTATTCTAATAGTAACCCAAAAAATAAATCTTCTTCCAACGGCTTGTGCACTACATGAACCGGATGTCAGGATTGTTGGTATACGCATGATCATCCTAAAAAAAATTAATATAATTAGATTTTGATAAAGAGAAGCAATAAAGTACAAAAGTGCAAAATGAAACTAGTGGAAGCATATTTAACTGCAACAACTTACAACAACAACAACAACAACAACATACCCAGTATAATCCCGCATAGTGGGGTTTGGGAAGGGTAGTGTGTACACAGACCTTACCCTATCTTGTGAAGATAGAGAGACTGTTGCCAATAGACCCCCGGCCTATAATAGCATAAGCACCACATTATTGAAAAGAAAGATAACAAGGGACAACGCGGAGAAGCCATGTAAAAGCAGCATAAAAAATATCAAGATGGTAAGATGACCAAAATGACTCCATAACAAGAACCATGAACTTGAAAAGAGCTTGTGCAAACACAACATCAACCTCAGAAGCACTCGTAGAAACATGGTTGGGAATATCAGTTTACTAATGCACAACCAGGACAAAGAAACAATCACCCACAATCTGGATTATGTGCAAAGGTAAAGTGCATCATGCCGGAAAGCACTCTTGATTTAATGCTTATTTCAAACTATTTGATATTTGGTATGGTTATCCTTTTTCCTTTTTTCTTTTTCCACAGCCAGGCACGAAGTTATATAATCCCGGTCACAAACAGCCTTTGCATATTTCAAGTCATTCTCCCATGGGCATTCAGACCAAAAGTTCTCAATGTCTTCTTGAAACCAAAGACTTAAGAAAAACCTATGACATATTGTAATGATAAATAACTGAAACAACAACAACAACAACCTAGTATAATCCCACAAGTGGGGTGTGGAAAGGATAGTGTGTTCGCAGAACTTACCCCTACCCTGGGGTAGAGAGGTTGTTTTCGATAGACCCTCGGCACCAGAACTTAAAAAGAGCACAAACACGGGAAATAGCTGTGTCAACTCAGTCAAAGGAAACAATTCCAAAAGAAAAGAAAAGAGTAGAACACTTACCATCCCACTAGAAATAAAAAACCACTGTTTGACTTGATTAACACCACTTAACCATAATGAAACAGAGAATAACCCATCGCACCAGTCTTGTTTTCTATATATCTCCTCACCTGAGCAAACTGGTGCTCTTTTCAGCCAGATTAATAGTAATACTATTCCATTTTAGTATCTCAAATAAATAACCTGAGAACAGTAGTAAATACTTGAATATGCTATTCCATGCGAAGACTTACCAGGAATTTACCTTAATCACATCATATATCAACTTAAGAAAAATAGATATGTAATCTAGCAGTGCAAGCTTGATTAAAGTACTCCCCCAAATAAAGTTGCATCAGAACCTATTAAATACTTCCAGAGATACAATACTATAGTCGAAACAAAATACTAGACAAAGATTGATTTATTCAAATAGACTCATTTGCATATACATCCAAGAAACTTCCTTTCATGTGAACTAGAATAAGTTTACTTACCATGGTATCATCCACAAGACTTGTAGGACTTGTCTTATCCGTATCATTTAAATTAGCAATCATGTCAGAAATTGCAGCAGGAAGTCCAGTCTGTTAAATATTGTACAACTAAACTTAAACTTGATAGAACCTCGAAGCAACAACTTTATAACATCAAAAATAGTATAACAAGTTTCCTTTCAGTAGAACACAATAGTTTCTAAAGATTCAAATAAACAGACAACATCCACATAGAGCATTTTATACCTTGAATATCAAGAGGGAAAGGACTTCCTCTTTAGGGCCCTTCAAACCCCTCGTCGGAAGATTTATTCGGGCTCCCGGTCCTATCGGAGCCTTGGCCCCCGACTCACTATATAGCCTTGGAGTCAGACTAAAAATTGCGCGTGAATCGTCTGCTCAAAGGCGGCGTCAGGCTTGCTTAGGCCGAGTAAGCAACTGAAGAAATTTCATCTGAAACTAAAGAAGCTACGGGGTCTTCCTCTTCTCTGGAAGTCTTATGTAGAAATGACAAACAGATTAGTGGATGAGAACGTCCATTCTTCGAAGCTAGTACCATAGAATATAAAACAGAACATCATGTATTAGACTTAGAAATATCTTTATCATAGTATTTAAAACAAGTGTTGAAGTAGTAGTAAATTACAGCCAATTATTAGAAAGTCATTCTTTACTTGAATAATTGTATTCCAGCACCCCAACAAAATAGCACCTCGCCAAAGATCACATCTAGCTTACTGCTCCTTTTGTTTCTATTATAGCTGAAAATAGCAAATTCACTTTCATGTGCTTCAGGACCATTTAGTGCTTAGTGTTCTGTTCTATTGCATTTCTAATATAAAATTGTGTCATGTCTATAGTCGAAGAAAGTAATATATGTGTGTGATAATGACTAACATGAAAAGTGATGCTATCTCTTTTATTCTTAAGTAGTTTAATAAAATTGTTCTAAGGATCAAAAGCAAGTAATTGAAACTTTAACGCCTTAAACAAACTAAATACCTCGTAACTTTGAATATGGGATACTAGTGCCATCATGACCTGTTTTAATATTTTTTTTTTATCACTCAGTAGATGAGCTTCCATGACTACTTATTTTTTTCGCTAGTCCTCAAGTTGATTTTCCACTTCTATTAGTTTGCAGTCTACGCTCTATCATTTATGGTGTTCTTCTTCCACCTCTTTCTGTTGTGGTTGCAGTTGCTCTTGAGTTACATGCATAGATCTCCTACTAGCTGGCTTGATTACCGATCCTTGACCGTGGCAATATCCTGACTTTTCTCCAACAAATTTCACAAAAGCAGCATTAACGACATATCTTACCGCATTATAAGATATTGCTTGGAAGGACTTTCTGCCAGAAATATGATTCATTTCTTGTTTTCCCTAATTAGTTTTATTTTGTGCACCCATTTGCTGCATGAATATATTTTAATTAAGTAAGAAAGTATAAGAAGAAACTAAGCAATATTATAAAGTTAAATCCATTTAATTTTGATGTACTCCTAATTAACTTAAAAGCATCAGAACTGAAATAGTCCACTAAGAAATTCCATTCAGCTTCATTAACCTCTGTTGACATGTTCTGCAAGCTTTACTCCTTCGTAGCAAATTTCATGAAATGATCGTGGAGCCTACTACGACTGTCACGACCTAAAATCCACTAAGGATCGTGATGGCGCCGGACACCATTGTCAGGCAAGCCAACACCAATTTACTTGAAATTTCTTGTTTTAGCATTTTAGAAATCGTTCCTTTTTGTACATTAAACAATAAGTAATAAGTTTTACTGAATAGATACATATGTCTTTAACAAACTCAATATTAAAATTTCCCATAATCATCCCAAAACCCGGTGTCACAAGTGCATGAGCTATCTCTAGGAAACAAAATAATACAAAAACTATCTCGGGATCCAATTAGCACAGATAATAAATATGAAAATCTGAAAGAGACTCTGCTGGCTGCGGGTCGCCTCGAGAAGTGTAGCTCACCTAAGTCTCTCCGTATCAACCATGCTACTATGCCCACTAGGCTACTAGAGATGCAGGTTCCTGTGCAACAAAAAAGCACAGCAAGTGTAGCATGAGTACGAAAACAACGTGTACTCAGTAGGTATCCCGCCTAATCTCGAAGAAGTAGAGACGAGAGGTCGACTACGACACTTACTAGTGGTCCAATGATGATACATCAATAATATAACAAGTCGAGGGTTTATATCAGCATGAATGTAATTCAATAGAGTGAAGCAAGTAAACAATTACTTCTTTTATATGAAAATTTCAAATTCCCTTTTTCATCATTTATACATATATTCTCAAGACGGGAAGAAGCAATATCAACTTCAGTAAATTATAAGGCAAGCAATACAAGCATGCGCAAATCATGCCGAGGACGTACGGCCCGATCCAACAATATCTAAACTGTGCACTGCCAGAGGGTTGAATGGCGCGAACCATAGATGAATTTATTTAATCTATCGAGGCATTCAGCCCGTTCCACAGTATATAAACACATTCAAACAGTCAATCAAGAACTCATCAAGGAGCAATTTATCAAAAGAAAGCCAATTTTTCCTTAACAATTCAAAGAAATGAAGTTTAATCCTTTTTAGAAATTCATTTACTAATTTGATGTGATTTAAGCAATTCAAACTGTCAATAAGATTACAAATATTCCAAGTATTGCATGCTTTTGGGTCCTAGACTACCCGGACTTAAACATAATAGTAGCTACGCACAGACTCTCATCACCTCGTGCGTATGTATTCCCCCACAAATAGGAGTACATAACCAATTAACTCACCTATGGGGACAATTCCCTTTTACAAGGTTAGAAAGGAGACTCACCTCGCTCCGAAGTTCCATAACCGACAATCCACGCCCTTCCGAAGACTCAATTCGATGCAAAAAATGCTCCAACACTAGCCAACAATTATGTAAACCCATTAATATGACATCAACTACTCATTATAATCCAATTTATAACAATTCCTAACCCCGGTCGAAAAGTTGACAAAATCGCCCTCGGGCCCACGTGCCCGGATTCCGAAATTTTTCGAAGATAAAATTTACCCATAACCTCAAGAACTCAAATATATAATTTATTCTCAACTTCATGTCCAAAATCATGGTCAAAATCCAAGAATACCAATTTTCTAGGTTTTCCCTCAAAATCCCATATTTCTACAAATTTCCATACTTTAATCCGTATAACATCCACGTATTTGACTTATAAGGAGTGGGAATTACTTACCTTGTCATTGATGATGAAAACCCCCTCTTGAAACCCTCCAAGGAACGTCCAAGCCAAGAGAAAGATGAAAGAAAATGGCCCAATCCCGACTTTAAACAACTCACTGCCTCCAGCATTTTTGCACCTGCGGTGCATAAACCACTCCTGCGGCCCCCGCTCCTGCGACGCACGTGCTGCTTCTGCGGTCCCAGGCTCTAGGCCAAAAATCCGCTTCTGCGGTCTCCTCAGCGCAGATGCGCACCCGCATCTACGGTTAAAGTTCTGCACCTGCGGCCTTTGCCGCTTCTGCGGCCACTGGCATCGCTCCTGCGCCATCACAGGTGCGCATTCATTTTGCTTCTACGATCACCGCTGGTCTGGCTCCATTCCGCTTCTGCGAGCCATCTCCCGCACCTGCGTGCCTGCACCTGCGGCCCTCCTCACGCAGGTGTGGTTACACCAGATGCTCAGCTGTTTCAGCTCTTCCTCAACTCCCTTTTTCGATCCGTTAATCACCCGGAATCCACTCGAGGTCCCCGGGACCCCGTCTCATCAGACCAACCAGTCCCAAAACACATTACGAACTTGCTCGAGGCCTCAAATCATATCAAACAACGCTAAAATCACGAGTCACACCCCAATTCGAACTTTATGGACTTTAGAACTTCAAACTTCTGCATTCGACGCCGAAACCTATCAAATCACGTCCGATTGACCTCAAACTTTGCACACAAGTCATATTCGACATTAGGGACCTACTCCAACTTCCGAAATCGGAATCCGACCTCGATATGAAAAATTCCACTCTCGGTCAAACTTTCTCAAAAACCTTCAAATTTCTATCTTTAGCCAAATGACTCTAAAATGAACCACGAACCACCGAATTCATTTTCGATCGCGCTCCCAACACCAGAATCACCATACGGAGCTATTCCCAGACTCGGAATCCCAAACGGACATTGATAACGCTGAAATGCACCTCAACCCAATACTTATGAAAATCCTCCAAAAATGCTAACTTCCACAATAGGTGCCGAAACGTTCTCGGGTTTTCCAAAGCCCAGTCCAAACATACGCCAAAGTCCGAAATCATCATACGAACCTGCTGGAACCTTCAAATCCCGATTCTGAGGTCGTTTACTCAAAAATCCAATCTTAGTCAATTCTTTCAACTTAAAGCTTCTGAAATGAGAATTCTCTTTCCAAATTAACTCCGAACTTCCCGGAATTCAATTCCGACCATGCGTACAAGTCATAATACCTGAAGTGAAGCTGCTCATGGCCTCAAACTACTGAACGACACGCTAGAGCTCAAAACGACCGGTCGGGTCGTTACATCCTCTCCCACTTCGTCCTCAAACGTGCTAAGAACTGCACCGGAGTGGTCCGAAATCACTGTTTAACACCTTGAGCACCTACTCGTGCTACCATAGCTCAGTTGAGCACAATAATTCGATCAAATTTGGAGGTATTCTCTTTTATTCAAACAATTAAGCTTAGAACCCAATTCCAACATCCGGAATTCTCCGTCAGGCCTGCTTCCAATATATGAACACTGTATCAATCACTACACGAGGTATCAGAACATGACTGCATACCTTCGCTGAATTCTCACCATGCCCCACATCATTTACAGGACCATTATAACATTCTTCGATCATAATAACCAGCATTCCCTAAATCAGATGCTCACAACGCACCTCAAGATATATATAAGTCTTGTTCCAACTCTTACAATACTACCATGACAGAGAAGACACGTAGAAATTCATAATCAACTGCCAAGTCAACAAATCATTGAGGCTACACTCCTGACAAGAACATTACCTCATTCTGAACCCAAATAATGATCTTTGCTCTTTCATATACTTCATACCATCCGATTGCACTGATCCTAGGTCCAATAACCTTGTCTCACCCAGTACGAACTGCTAAGGCAACAAGCCACCCAGACATGACCAAAAGTCTCATATGATGCCACCATGTACCCATAGGCTACCAACTCGAACGTGATACATAAGAAAGACGAGCTCTAGAAGGGACTACCCCACTCAAGCAGCTAAATATGAACTTTCCTCAGAAAATGGAAAACAAAACACACAGAATAGAATATAAGGGACTATAAATATCATCACACTGTTGCGGCATGCAACCCGATCCAACCAACATACCCATGGCGGCGTGCCACCCGATCCACACATAAAATTCACATAAGGAGATACACATCTAGCTAAATTTCTCATTACAACACAATACCGAACATCGGTCACAAGCACGCTAAGTGCATAATACCATCCCTAAGGGCACATATAGCGCCACAAGCTAACAAACTCAAGAACAGCTGAAGTGCGATAAATGTTCTGAAACTAAAGAGCCATCTTGTTCACATAACATCATCGCTACGCGGAACCTCAACACATAAGAAATTTACCAAGCCGTTTGGCAACTCACCCGGCACAATATAGCATTACATGAAATAGCCGACGATGAAATAACATCCAACGTCCGAATACTCATCCATAAGGAGAGCTATGCTGAAATGAACACATTCGTCCTGATATAGAACCCATATTCATATTTAAATCCATCCACAGACCTCAAGCCGATTTTGATCGTACCGAACTAGGCCAATAATCTTTTTTGGGTCCATAATAACCCCTTTTTCCCATAACTCACAAGAACAACCATCATAACCGGAGTAGTCCTCCACAGTCTACAACCCAATAAGCCAAGTGCCCTCCAAGAATAAACTCTCATATTAATGATATCACAACAATCTTCATACTTGGTTTCATTCTTCAATCAATCAAGTAACTACATGCCACACTTATACAATCTTCCCGTGAGACA